AGGTACTGTTAATAATGGGGCATGGGATGCAAGACGAGGTCGTGGAGGCATCTAGAGTCCGTGGGACGACCCACGTCGAAGCAAGTGGCAACAGCTCCCTAAGAATCTGAGACTGTGGTAAAGCCCGCACTGGAGTAATCCGATGGGGAAGGATTGCATCCTGCGGGTAGGACTCAGCCTGAGAGAAGTTTGTGGATTTTTCTCCTGAGTAGGGGATCCACTGGAGCAAGGGAAAATGGTGTAAGGACTCCTCCTCCTTTAAGAAAGGAGCGGCAGTAACAGCATGGGATCTGTCCCCCTGCGCCGCCGGGGGGAAGGCAGAGCTGGGAACGAAAGGAAAGAAAAGGGTGGGGAGGTGTTGTTTTAAGATCTGGCCTTGTTTACTCTTTATCCTCTCAAGTAACCGGTTTTGTTTCCTTGTCTTTGTTTAAGAAACTGTTAATAAATTGTTTTGTTTTAAGAAAAAAAAACCCCTGAGTCATGTTTTGCCCGGGACCATGGCCGGTGGGTGCTCCCTCTCAGTTCTTGTCTAGACCCTCAGTTCCTTTTATTATAAAACCATGACAGGTGGAATGGCGAAATCAGGACAAGCTCGCTCAGATGAGCTACTAATTATTAGTCTTATTATTCCTTCCATGTATGAGTGGAGTACCTGGCAGCTCTTGTACTTGTTCAGAGAGGAAAATCACAGAGATAAATGCTGCATAATGCGTGGGCAAAGTTTAAGAGAAAAATAAGGATTTTTATTTTTGTTTTTTTTTAAAGGCAAATAATAGGGGGATGTTCAGCTTTTTAAAAATGAGAAAAGTAGATTGGACAAAGCAGCAGGAAGTGAAACATGGAAACCATCTGCCACTAACGAGGAGCAGGAGTAGGTGTCCTCACCCAAAGCTGATTCTGATGAGGGCTTTCATAGATTCATAGATTTCTAGGTTGGAAAAGACCTTAGAGATCATCGAGTCCAACCATCCCTAATCCCCATTAAACCATATCCTCAAGTAGCTCATCCACCCTATTCTTAAACACATCCAGGGATGGGGACTTTTCCGTACAGATTGTCCCGAAGGGAAGAGCCTGGGTGGAGCTGAGCCGAGCACTGCACCAGCTCTTGGTCGTCAGCTACAAACAGCCAACGCTCACTTGCAAAAACATCTGTGAGAAACTTTGGTAGGTGATTACATTTCAAAAACAGCAGGTACTCCAAGTAAGCAGTCACTGAAGAGCTTTTAAATTTTTATGAATTCAGAACACCCAAAATCTACAGTGTGTCCTAGTATTTTACTGTTTTACCACTAACTGTGCCAGATGTGACGGAACGGATCATGGTGACACAGATGAACGTGGTGGCTGGGTTTTGTGCTTGACCCCGTCAAATGTTCCATAAGCACGTGGGGGTCAGGGCCAGTTTTAAACATTGAGGAAGGAGGAAAGGAGAGCACTCTAGGTGTTAATGGACCATCCCGCCTCTCCACCAGGATCCTCAGCCTCCATCCTCACCCAGGACACTGTGGACACCTTCTCACCTCAGCCATGGCCACAACATCTGGAGGTATCTCCTAATTTAGTGCCAGTGGGGATAAGTGTCTTATCATAGAATGGGTTGGGTTGGAAGTGACTTTAAAGATCATTAGTTCAAACCTCCCTGTCCCATGGGCAGGGACACCCTCCACTAGACCAGGCTGCTCAAAGTCTTGTCTTTAGGTGTCTCTTTTCATGGGATGTACAAAATTGTGAGTTATCATCATACGATTTACGAATTCTGTCAGTGAAATAATTGTTGAGATATAGCCCTTAATTTCTTCCCCCTCCACTTCGACAGAAAACACATGAACCCAGATGTAAGAAGCAGGATAGCTTTGAATGGCTTCATGTGGAAACCACCCAACCGAATGGCCTGAAGTAATCTTATTCAAGGTTTCAAACTGTTTTCTTGGACTCCGTAAAAATTAGTTACAGTTTAATGGCAGTGGCTGTTCCCCAAGGCACAGAGCTGAACCAGACCTGTGGGTCAGAGCACCGACACCCATCCTCACCTCCCGCAGCCATCTAGGAAGCCTGACCAAACGAAACAATTTCTCCAAGGAAGAGCACAGTTTCCTTCTGCGTAGGACTCAGCAGCCTACACATGGTTTTTGTTACCTCTGTTTTTCTCCCCTGTATTTTTTATATGGCTCACATAAGTGGAGAGAAGATCACACAGCACCCAAACCCAACACGAATGAAATGAGTTTTCCTCAACACTGATATGATGCAGTTGGGTGCAAAGAACAGGAATGGAAACGGTGGAAGAGGGTTACAACAGACAGACCAGCTGCTGGCACAGCTGTGCAGTCATACCTCATCCTGGATGACGTAACATCTGGGGCTATGATACGGTCAAGCGCTTCCAAAGACCATCGCCAGACCCGTGCTCCAGTTACTATACAATAACTCTACAACCTTAAGCACAGCACAGCCAGGGTGGGGTCCAAAGTCCCTAGTAGGGAAGAACAAACGCACCCAACCCCAGAACTCTAAACCCCAGCCTTAGGGATGAGCTCGGTACTAGGACCCACAGGTTAAATCTAGTCCCCCCACAATGACCACAACACGCAGAAAGATCTATGAAACTTTTTCAGCGACCCGTATCTCTCACGCAAGGGCTCGGTCCGGCTAATTGCCTGCCTCACACGCCTCACTTAATGTGGAAACGCTCCTTCAGAGCCTGAAACAGGCATTTCTGAGGCGCCTCTTATGGTCAGAGCTCTCTGACGGACCACGAATTCAGCTTGTAATAAATACTTTGCTATCACCTTCTTCTGCCTAGCCCCTCCTTTGAACCGCAGCTTTTAATCAGTCTTCCTGCAATCTGTCAAGGAACCACAAAACCCTTTTGGCTTTGGAACAGCCCTGCAAAACTCTAACAGCATAATACAAAAAGCAGTCAGACTGTTTCAAGACGTAAACCTGGCCCGAGCTAAGACACGGAGGTGCATAAAAGGAGATTGCACACACTGTTCTCAGCAGACAACTGGCCCGTGCTGAAGCAGCAGGGCAGTTCTGCTGGTGGGTGCAAGCTTGCACCGCACAGTGGATGTGGTGTTATTTGTTATGTTCCCAGAAACTGAGGGTTCCTCGGAGTGATTTCTGTGGATTTAATGGCATACCTCTGGTCCTTGACTGGCACACTGAAAGCTATGGCATTGCTAGCTGGCTCCTTTATCTCACAAAATCCTTTGACGCAATCGAAAAAAAAAATCTCTAATACAAATCTCTGTAATTCTTTCAATATTATTTTATTACAAGAATAGTTCGAGACAGAAGTCATGGCAAAGATCAAATTTTGTACAGTTAAGAGACTTCACAAGCCTCAAACCTCAAGCGATCTCTCAACTGGTTATCGTTGTGCAGCACAGGAACGATGTACCAGTCTTTCATGTGGACAGGGGGTGCTGCGCGGCAACTCGGCGCTCCTGCGGAGGATCGCGCGCAGCAGTGGTGCGGAGATGAAGAAGGCAATATGCTTCCTCCCAGTGCTTTACTGCCATCTCACCTCACTGCCAGCGCAGCTTTTAGTCCACTCAAGTCACCTCTAAGTTTGGCAGAGACAAAACCAGCCCCCTCTTGCCTTCTCCAATTACTGTACATCCACAAAGATTCTGCTGATTTCAGAAAGGAGAATTAACAAAGCATCATGTAGGCTATCAAAAAAAAAAATAATTCTTACACAGGAAACACACTGATCCCCTATAGTTAATATATTAATAATCATTTACTTGTAACATTAATTGCATGACTCGTAGTGCCTGCATTTTTTATTTAAAACCCCCAAACCTCCAGAACACAAAGGCCATAGGGGCAGGGGTGCCTGAGGCCTTCAGACACACTGAGCTGGCTCTTACTTTAAAGGATGAATCATCAGAAGCTGGCTGGTATCGGTCAAATTGGCCTGCATGATAAACAAAGTGAGTTAGCCTTTCCCTGGAGGTGCTTCTGTCTCTTGGCTACAGAAAAATAATGCAGCTCGGCTGCAAGCAAACTTTTTATATTATATAAAGCAAGCAAAACATAATTACATAGCAAAGGTTTTCTGAAATAACCTCTGGAGGTTCTCACAACATAGCAAGCACTCTGGAATTTCTAGAGTTTCAGTACGTATTTGCTAAGAACAGAGACCCACTTGCAGTATCTTTTTTTTACTCTATCCTTCTAATGTTGATGCAGAAGACAAAATCTGCAAGCCTCACCCCTACACACCTATTATTCTGGGCTGTATATGTCATTGTCACAAAGTTATACAGCTCTGTCAGTGCAGAGGAAGCCTGGACAATTCTGAATGCAATCAAAACCAAATATATTTGATGCAGACATCAGAATCTGGAAACAATAAAAAGTTTGGGTACAGTCACATGAGACTGAGTGCCAAGATGAAGTAACCACGTAGAAGTTGCTGATATTCCTGGGGTACAGGTGCATCAGCGTGTTTTAGCCCCAAGTTCTTGGCCAGCCTCTGTTGTACAAATGACTCTCGTATTTTATACCAGTTCTAAGAGAATGAAAAGCAAAACTTTTGATCAAGTCTTGCAGCTGATGCTTAAAAAAGAGCATCCTATCTTCAAGCACCATGAATGGACTAGAGGAGTTCTTGTTTGCTTTCAATTATGTGGCTTGCTCGTTAAAAGGTTAAACTCCTCCTGTATCTTTCCCATGCCACAATTTCATGCCACGGTTGGAGCAACAGCTCGGCTGTCAGGCTGGAGGTTGATGAGGGAATTGCTTGCTTGGGCCAGCTCTGCGATGGAGACTCGTCCTCTCTGTTTGATATACTGAGCCACGGCAGCCATCTCCTCCGGAGTGATGTAGATGAACTTTCCTCTGTCATCAATCACACCTACAGGGGGAAAGAAAGGACTGTGAAGTCAGCACTTTGGCTCCTCTCACTTCCCGACAGACATCAGTCACTTCTTTTGGAAGGGATGTTCCAACTGCTGAGGCTGCATTTCATATCTAGGGCAGGCAGAACAACGTGCTGGCAGCCAGGCTTTTATCTCCTCTCTACTGCTGGGTCTTTGAGGAGGGCTATGACAATGGCCGAGTGCCTCCGTAAGACTAATTTTGTTCAAAGTAACACATTCTTTTCATTGTACGCAGCTAGCTGGGAGTTTCACAGCAGCTGCTCCAGGTACACGGTTTCGGTGCTGACGTTCAGGGCCCAGGCAGCTGGTGGAGAACGGCAGAGCAGCAGGAGGGCCCAGGAGGTGATTGAGAGACCCTGCGGGGCCCAGCTCAGCCATTCCAACGTACTCTCTAAATAGGAATGAAGGTCAATTTCCACATTTCAGTTGCTCCATCAAGAGTGAGTAGAGAGCTCTCTGTTCTTGATGCATTACAGGGTCAAACGTGAGGCAGCGAGCCTCACTGGCATGACTTTTAGGCCACAGTCACAGCCAGGACAGTACACAACCTTACGCTTTGGTTCAGACCACTTTTAGAGCATCTGAATGGGTACCCACCAAGACAGGTGTTTCCCAGCCATGACCGCAATATCAGGTCAGTCAATGTTTGCACTAGCACGTTCCCCTACTTCATCCTTGGAAAGAAAAAGACTGACCAGCAACGAACCAGACTTGTTCAGACAGGGAGCTACCCACATGTTCAGTCTCTGCTTACGTTCCAGCTCTGACTGCGTGGGTGCATGGCTGGGAACAAGCACTTCATGTACTACAGCATCCTGCAGTGCTCTGGGATGTCTGCTTCTGCACAGCGTGTCGTACCCCAGTCCTGGCTTTAGCCACAGAACCTTTAAAACAGGTTGCAAACTACCCTAAAACATCCAAGTGATTCTTTCAAATTCAGATTTCAGATGACATCATTCACAGCTGGCTGCTCAGCAACCCCTAAAGGCCTTCAGCAGGGCTCCATCAACATGCAGAAGCCTTGTGCTGGTTCCTGAACTGCTGGGGACATTCACCACCTGCCTCTGTATAAGGTATCATAGGAGCAAACACATCCCATAGTGTGTTAAACAGTAGTTTCATGGCAGCTGAAGCAAGGATAATAAAAATACCTATTTTTCAAGTCCTACTAGGATCCTTTGCAGTTTAAACCAGAAATTTTACTGAAAGTCTCGTTCTACCATAGCAAAGGCATTTTCTGCACCACCTGTTCACCAGCTAAAGTCCCCTCTGTGTTTTAGCCATCACCTGTTAGAGTGCCATCTGCCATCAGGTCCTGGATTCTGTTAATTGCATCCTGTTCAGAAGAGAAAAAGGGGTAAGAAACTGATCAAGAGGAAGGCAAAAAAACATTTCACATGTTCAGATAAACTACACACGGAGGCTTAACATTTAATTCCTCAGTGTTAAAGACTTCAGCAAAGGATACACATCAGTATTTCCACACAGCTGGATGCAGTAAGCCCTTTGGTCTTAGAAGGATGAAGTGAGCTTCTGCATTTTGGCATGTTCAAATAACTTGCCTATTCCCAAAAGAGACTTTTTAAGTGCTAAGTTAGCTGTCGGTTTTATGTAAGTGGGGAGGTTACACATTATCTTCCCAAGGAAAGGCTGTATAGTGCAAATGCAACACGCAAGTTCTATGAAGTACACTGAGGTACTTCTCCAAGAACCTGGCAAAACTCAATACATTTCAGAGCTTTTTATATTTTTTTCCTGCTTCACTTCAGAGGAAATCTCTTTTACCAATCCAAAGAACAACCCGTTGAATTTATTGCTGGGTTAACTCTATAGTTACTCCAAGCATGCAGCTCCAGTATGCCTTAAGCTAGTATCTAAGCCTTGGTTTCCACGGTTCTGTCTCTCTCCCTTTCTTGTATTTATGTGACTGCAGAAGCAAATTAGAGTTTAGATTTCAACCAGATAAATTCCCTTAACTGACTCACCGCATGCTTAAATGAAGTTCTGGTTTAAGGGAGAGGCAGGGGCACAGCAGCCTGGACTTACAGCAGCGTAAGCTGCTGTGAAGGGGCACCCCAAGATCAGAGGAGGTACAGAACAACAGAAAACATTGGTCATTTAGAAATACATGACAAATGTGCTCAAATTAAAATAAACTCAGCCAAAACTATTCTTCAGAGTCAAAACATAACACTTTTAGAGAATAGAAAGTGGACAGAGGGGAAAAAAAAAAAAAGAAAAAAGTATAGCTATCATATCGTGAGCTCACTTTGACAGGTTTATATGGTGCTGAGAGGGACAATATTCTCAAGCAACGCACCAGAAGATACAAATTAGGGTGGTCAAACACCGGAACAGGCTTCTTAGAGAGGTGGTCAATGGCCCTTCAATAACACGCTTTAGCTTTTGTCAGCTCTGAAAAGGTCAGGCAGTTGGACTCAATAATCATTGCAGGTCCCTTCCAACTGAAATATTCTCTTCTATTCTATAATTCTTAAATCTTCTAAGAATACACAAGCAATTGGAGCAAAGTTCCTCCTCTATTGATCATCTGCAAACATAACATTATTCAATTATGTAGGCAGTGTCTGAATTTGCTTCTAGCTCTGCATTTGATTCCCCAGTACCCTGAATTACTCTATTACTAGATTTGCAAACACCATAGGACCCATTAGCCAACAGGCAACTGTGCCAGAGGCAGACTGAGCACTTCACTGAAAAAATCTTGTAAGCCAACAATTCTTCACTGGCTGGACGGTACTTTATTGAATTTTTAGGGCTTATTTTGCTGAACTTCACCAAAATCCAAGCATTTTCAGTAATGCTGAGACACTTGCATAGATGTTACCCTTATTTATCCACTTTCTCTCCTGTCCTTTTAAACTCATTGCTTGTACTTGCACCTGAAAAGGTAGTACTTACCTGAGTTCGTAAACCCAGATGTGAAGCCAAGTCTTCCAGCTGGATTACCTTTGTTTTCTATGGAAACAAACAAGAGTTAAACGCAGCTGAAGAATTAGAGGGTTAGTGTATTTCTTTTTCTTTCAAATAAAATAAAAAAAATGCCTTTAATAGACAAAGTAGAACCTGCTACTCTAACTTTTCCTAGTAAGCGCTTTTCGCTGACAAAAAACTCTAATGTAAGTTACTTAAACAAATTTGCTCTGACTCACTCAAGAGAAGACTCAAATACATTTTCCAGCATTCATCCTGAACTTTTCCTTACATTAGGAGGACAGGATGAGCACAAGCACAATAAACCAGCCACGGCTCAGTTCTCCCCACCACCTGGGTTTCTCAACTGCAACCTCTAATTTCCAATACACTTTGGCAAGATCTCTTTTTGTTTGAGAGATCTTTCAAAGTAAAATGATCAGCGCACACATAAAAATCAAATAAAGCATTAAGTGCTTTAGTCTGTTTTACTAATGCCATGTGTATTAATGCCACAATAATCTTCCTGAGCAAGTGAACATCTTATTAAAATTGTCAGTGCTGGAAGCGTGCCGGTAGTGCGCTCCTGTGCGGGTGGCACGAATGGTCTCCGAGAGCAAAGGCAGAAGCAGAAACTGCAAATTTTCATTTTGCTTTTGACAGAGATTCTTACTGCTGCCTCAGTCAGCACGCAGTCACCACCGCTCACGTCTGGTTTTATGCTTCCCTGTAGCTGCAGAGAATTACAGAGAAAACAACTGGTGCTCTCATCTGGAGCTATTTGGTGCCTGTTTTCTTCTCTGCAAAAGTTTTAGAAACTCGTCTGTTTAGATTCGGTAAAAGGATGCACTGTTCAGAAGGAATTTGGAGAAGAAAATATAAAACTTTGAAAAGCGTTCAGCAAACATTCTGGGCTATATTCCATATGTTGTGTCATATATGTGCAGCCACAACACCTACATTTACATTATCAGATGTAACACTTAAACAATAAATGCATTTGTTTCTGATCTTGAGAGTACACTGGAAGGACACTGAAGAAATAAAGAGAGTCTGAAATAAATTAATCTTTTTCATTAACAAAATCAGACAAAAAAAGCCACACAAAGACTTAGCAGTTGTGAAGTTCGATGCAGCCAAGCTAGAGAACTGAATACCATGGACTGAACACATGGAATTGGAACCAGTCCATGGAATTCAGTTCTCAGAGCTGGGAACTGCCAAGATTCGTCACATCTTCTTTTAAAAGGATGGGGGGGTGCAAAGCCACATAAACAAGAAAAACAGGATTTAAACCTTCGCTTATTCACCCTCAGTGACCCAGTTTACTGGAAACTTTCCAAGAGAGATTCTGCTGTGAATAAGAGCCCAGAGGGCGGGGCGGAACTGGGATGCACTCCCCACACACACTCTGAAATATAATGACATTGTGAGGTCCCAAGGTAGCAAAACACTTCACCACACACTTCACTTTTTAAAGACAGGCTTAATTTTCATAGAGCAACATACACACAAGCACATTTTACTGAATTCATTTAATTTTAGGTACGATTCTGCTGCTGTCCTCAGCAACGGATGACACAGAGCAAGAGCTCCTGGGATTAAGATGAGTAGGATTTTTTTTTTTATGTTGTAAGCATCACCTTTCTTAAAGAAAAAGCAGGAAAGGGTAAAGCCTCCGAGTCCTTCACTATCCCTTTCGAACACAGTGAAAATGTAGTTTGCTGTTTCAGTTCCCTGGCTGTAGCTCAGAGACATTCGAGGACACACCATGAAGCCGGGTGAGCACGGTGTGACGGTCAAAACGTGGGCTTGTACTTCCCTGGGCTCCACGGCGAGGGGACTGCTCAGCCACGCTTTAGCCTCTGCCCACCTCATTATTCATTTTTTTCTGAAGTCCTCAGAGAGCCCACAGAGCTGATTTGTAAAGTGTGCTGTGCAGCTACAGCACTGCTGAGTAAAAACCATAAAGCTCCCATTAAGAACTGGTTCCTCTGCTCCTCTGAGCAGAGTCTGGCAACTGCAGCAGAGACAATGGCACAGCCCGGGGTGTAAGGTGGTGACATTGCAGCAGTCAGATGGATGTTGTGGGGCTACTACAAAAGCCCCAAAGGAAGGGAGATGCTCAGCTTTCAGAAAAGCAGAATTGGGGGCAGGCGGAGGCATCAATCCTTTTGTGCCTTTAAGAAAAAAAGCATTTAAAACAATCTCACGAGGCAGAGCTGGAGAAAAGAGGCTGCATTTTATTTCAAACACCCTTAGGAATGAAGCATGAGGTGAGCTACTTCCAGCCAGTTACACCAGTATAATGAGTTATTCTACAGAACAGCTAAATTAAATTTTAATTTTTAAAATGCCAATTGCTCTTTTAATTTGTAAGTTTTTCAGACAACTACTAGCAGCTTAGCACTGCTTCTTGATATAAGTCAATGGTTTCTGTGAATAGAAGATGGGGGCTATACATAATCTATATATTAAGCATACTTTCAAGATTAAATAAAAACATACTAAAACTTGCAAAAGCAAGCAATGCCCCAGTTCTGCAACTCATCTCTACATAGGAAACCAGGTGTTGAAGCGCTTCTGAATTAGGTTTTCAGCCCCTGCTTAATTCCTCTGACGTCAAGTAGAAGTGACTAATATAAAACTATACAGATGTGCTCAGACACTGAACTGAGAGTTTGTGACTAATCTGTTCCATCCATCACAGCCACCACGGTAACGTGCAGAATCAGACCCTACTGCGTTATCATCCCTTGGAAACCCTCCCAATTTTAGTGGAAGATCCCGAGGGATGTTTAAATATCCTATTCTACCTACTGTTATCCTAGGGCAGCTTGTTTATCAATAAAGAACAGCACATTTTCCCTAATCCGCAGCTTGGCAGTATCGTGAAAGCCTTAGATGGGAACGAGTGAACTGGGATCACACTGTACCATGTAGTCTATTTCCACAGTTAGTAATTGAAACAGAGGGTGGTCTTAACAGACATGGCCATTTCAAAGTCCCTCTCTCTTTCAAAGTAATCTTTCTGGTTTCTGTGGAAAACAGAATATTGAAATCACTGCACGGCTCCAAAATGAAATGTGCCATCTGAGGGTTCATCGTGACTCCATGGTTTTACTTAGGCTCTTTAAACGCGTCACCCATAGCTTTCCCAGTCTATTCTCAGCTGTTTCATCTGCTTTTGATCCCAGTTGACTGGCTTATACTGGGGACCTGGTCAGTGAACAGGGGCTATTTTCATCTGGGCTGCAGCAGTGAAGGTAGTCTGCGTTTTACTAGCTTACGCATTTCCAAATCACCTCCAGAGACCACGTTGATCAGAAAGCATTTGACAGATGCAAACCCAGCAGCCTCTCTCGCTGCAGCCTGACGGCAATGGGACACACCACCACGAGTCCCAGTGACACAGGAGGCAAGGAGCAGCACAGCAGCAACTCTAGAACGATCGAGCCGTTGTTCAGACTTGCATGGCAATCACTCTCAAATTGACTCCTTGAGGAGAGTCACCCATGAGACAAACCTGTTTGTAAGTCCACGTTTTTGCTGGGGTAATGGACATGCAAAACTGGCCCAGAGTGCAGAGATTCTGGATTACGGAATGATTAGGACACTACTAAGTATACAAGTGATTTGCTTAATAATGAAGCCTTTCACATACATGCCATACATCGTCAGATAAGACTCCAGTTTCCAGTAAAGGATGAAAGGGACTAATTAGGACAAAAGATTTGCATAACATTGTTAGAGTAAGAGTAGAAAAATGCATTCGACCTTTGATACACCATTAGTGGAGAAAGAAGCATTTGTTATTCCAGATCAAATGTGGAAATCCTTATAAACACACCACAAGTTTTAAATAACTAACCATACAATATCATGAAAGGGAGACTGACACACCCTGTTAAAAACAAGGGATCTTCTCCTTGAATATCCCTTCCAAACATTAAGACAAGATTGCAAATTGCAGGGACAAAAACAAGAAAAGAAATCACATGAAAAGTTGGATTGACCTTTACAATGCTAGTGTCTCAGACACAAACACATCCTGCTCAGCGGGCCACATGCTGGTACAGCAATTCTCATTCATGCCGGGCTGAGATGTAGAGACTGATTTCTAAATCAGTAGCTGATGTTCACAAACAAAAAGCCTGAAAGTCCCAAATCCCCATCAACAGCAAACATTGCTGTTCATAAACTCTGAGGGTGATCCACCAGACGCAGAGTTTATAATGCCTATCCCCATGAAAGAGGGTAAGAGCTACAATCCTGCCCCAAAAAGCCAAGACACAGCTCTAATTGCAAACCGTTTTAACAATGATGGACATGTTCATGCATGGTTAAGCAAATAACGCAGACTTTAGCTAAGGTATCACTTTTGTTATTTGTTGAATATTTAAGTAAATCAAAGAGGAAGTAAAGACTTCCCTTCTTTCTGCAACTCAGCTCTTTGACGGAGATATTTCACACAATCTAACAAGTACGGAAGAAAGAGAAAGAGCAATGGTAGCTTACCTTAACGTATTCGAGAAATTCCATTAGAAAGCTGCGAGACTGGACACAGCAAGAAAAACAATTGTTATTTTAAACTCATGAATTTTAAATGTGTCACCAACTTACTGAGTACAAATATTATGAAAGTGTTTAGCTTGCATACTTCTGAAGTTTTAAACATACATACCAAGGCAGATTTTGAACTGGGAAAAAAGTATATATCTAGATATAATCTTAACTAGGAATTTATGATAGTTATTTTCTAAGACAGATATGGCTCAGGTACAATTTGTGTTTAAGAGTTTTCTGAAAGGAAATCTTTGAATCTTTTATTCTTCACATCATCCATACCCTGAAATAGCCACATCTGGGTGAGTTTGTGCATCGTCTATCCGGTTACACATACACACTGAGGACATTTTGTACAGAGGTAAGGCACAGGGTGATTCAGGAGACAGCTCATGCAGATGGTCAAGTGCAGCACACAGCTGTGCAACACATGTGGAAGCTCAAGCAGTTTTGAAAGCCACGCACCTGAAATCCGGCATTTTAATAAGTGCGACTCAATTTTCAAAGGCAATGCTAACAATGTTCATTTAAGTTAACAGGAGATCACGTTACTCTGCAACCCTGGAAATCAATCAGCCTTAACTAACTGCTTAGCTCTGGACTCAGGACCTTAATTTCCAGCATGAGTTTCAGCATGCCAGCCTCAACAATACAAGGCAGAGTCAGCTATTTTAACAGGATACTAAAGCACTTCAGTATGTTATCCACCACAAAGCAGAAGGGAGGCTTGCTATTTCTGCAAGGCTGATGTCTCCAAATAAGTATGTACCTGTGATTGTTTCTGAAGATGACTTTCAAATCACCTCCTATTAATGTTTTAACTCCCCACTCCTACCAAAGATATCTTATGTTGAGATTCAGGCACCATCAACTGCCTGCCAAGTCCTTGTGAGTGAGGAACACCCTTCTCTGTTCCCGCATATAGAAAGATTAAACTCTCCCTGACAGGCAGCTGTAGGAACACAGAAAATAAACACATTCTAGCTTTAAAGGGTGCCTAAACTGGAACAATGTAATATTTAGGTATAATCGGATCTTCTAAAAGGACAGGCACACATTTTTAAAGGAACTTTCAATAGAAAGTACGCATTTTGCTGTTCTCTGCATCTTAGGAAACTCTCTATCACCAGACATATCGTCTCTTGGTGTTAATCTTGGCATGATGGAGGAATTTATCTCAATGGGAAGGGGTTCAGAGTGAGAACTTGTGACATGGTATTGACTCACTACAAGCTCCTCAGCCCAAAGCCACTCTCAGTCACGCTAAGGGCAAATCCATTCAATTCTATAGGGTCGCTTTACCAGAGGAGCAAATGCACACATGGCCCTGAAAAAAATACTCATCATGAAATGCGTTGGACAGCTCAAATTTGGCAGCTAAAACCCGAGAGCAACTTCAGCATTTGATAGCAATTAAAATTAGTCTAACAGGTTTTCAGCAGACAGAATAAGAACGCTGCCTCCCACAACGGTGGAACATTTTCAAGTTCGCTGTGATATTATGTCAAGTCTCACATTTCAGCCACCACCCGCAGCAGCGCGTCTGCAGGCAGCCACAGGAGGAGCGCGCCGGAACGTTACGCAGAGTTTGAACCACCACCACCACCAACCACGGCAATCACTTGCCACGCCGAATGCACGCTTTTCCAGCTTACCCACGAGCAGCTAGGCTGCAGCCTGTGAATTCTCTTAACAGAAGGCTTTTAAGACAAGAGCTTGGTTTTTCATTTGATTTCACAGCAGCTCCGTTGCTCTAGAAAATCAAGCCCAAACCAAGCAATTCCTCCCAAGATATGTGGGCACTGCCAAACTCCATATTTAGCCTCGCTTTCATCTGGCCCACTGTATGTGGGTAAAGCAAAGCTGGTGACAGTAAAAGAGTATCTGACTTCCAGGACGAGTTTTATTTCAGTCCTCACATTAAGGGAGGAGAGAACTCATTTCCAGTAATATGCATTTGCTTTAGTACTCTAAACTGACTTGTAGGAGTTGGGAATGAGGGACTGTAGTGTTCTCCAGGAAATACTCCAGGTTAACGTATGCCATATACACAATTTAGGCTCTACAAGCAAAAACATTTGGCTGACTCATACTTTCAAGTTCATTTTACACGAGACAATGCAGTAAGGGCAACCTGAGTCTAACAAAGATAAAAGAAACTGCAGTAACAGGCTAGCATACATACCTCTTCCTCTGTCATTGATTCTTCAACCCCTTCCTCTTCAACTACAAAACTCTCCTTCAGCTTCAGGTACTCTTCATACTCTCTCTTCTCCTCTTCTTCCTTTGCCTTCCTTTTTTCCTCTTCCTGGACAGAAAAGATGACAAGTGGTCAGTTTGCTACTCCCCAAATCAGTTTTAGTTTTAAGTGAAGTAGCATCTTCTTTATCTGCAGTCTGGTTTTACTAGGACAGACGGCAGACAAAAAGTTTCTAAAATGAGACTAAATTCTCCCTTGATGGCATCATTAATTTCACAAGCCACCCTTCAGGAAGTAACTATCTCGCACGGTGGTGTAAGCTTACACACAATACACCTAGGCTGGTTCTTAACAGATCTGACACAGGGGAGAAAACCATTCTTATATAGCAACCTGCTCTCTTCATTTGCATGAGTGTGTTTCTCCTGCAGATCCCGTGACAGGAAGTCCCTGCCCCTAACTGTACTTCGATGCCACATCCACGTTTTCAGTAACTGGCCCCAATTCTGCTGTGACATGCACTCGTGTACTTTGGGAGTGATCACAAAGAACAGTGGAGTTACTCTGGTGTCCATCTGCGTGTGAGAAGAAGCTGGCCTGTAAAAGAGTTTCAAGTAAAACCTTTTTCTGATGACATATAAGCAAATTATGTCTACATGGAATGTAAAGAACTGTATAAGGTACTTTAGGCACAGGAGACAAGGTACGATTGTACTAAAAAAAGTTTTTTTCACATGTTAAATTGTTAACCAAAACCTACAGGATCTGCTTTAAGTTATTTGCAATAAAAATACTTTCAGTTACCTACCCTGAAAGAATTGTTAAAATCTTTTAAAAAAAAACAAAAAAGCCAACGCAGAAAACTCCAAGCCTGACATCGGTGAAATGATGAAGCATACTAGGTCATGTAGTCACACATTCACACAGCAAAATTGTGATTAAAAGTTTTGGAATGTGACAGATTACTTAAAAAAATGTTTTGAATAACAACAGGTTTTTACTGGGAGCTCATCAATTTGCAGCTTTCCATGATTTTTCTTTTAAAATTTGTTTTGCTCTTCTCCAAGAGACTTTGCACATGTAACTTCACACAGAAGAAAAATGTTTCCTCCTTACACAATGTTTTCTTTTGCAGAGAAATTTATGTTTGCACAGCACCTGGTAGAGTGAGATTCCAATTTGACTGGCCTCCGGCTGCTACCACATTGCAAAGGCTCGATTAAAACTTAGCAAGAGGAGTTCTTCAAATTTCAGTGACAATCTCTGGACATTCCTTTACTATTAGCACAGGAATTGATCTCTTAAAGAACAATTATATTGATTTCTAAATGCTTGCCCCTGCATCTTTGACACTAATATGGTAATTGCTTCCTTAACTGGCTGGAAAGCAAACACTTGTTCCATTAAAACAGGAAGAGACAGGAACAGGTAATTCAGTATATTGAAAAAAGGCCATATTAAAAAAGACGCCATGTAAGGCCAAAACCAGCACAATACCCAAAATAGGGACGGGAGGGTTGCCTTCAACAATAACTGAAGAAAAAATGAATTTAGTCCCAATTGTGTTTAATCAAGCTCACAGAAAGCCACAAGAAGGAATGCTACCAACATATAAGTATGAGAAAAACAGGACTCAAAGGATCTTCCTGAACATGCAAAGTCAAAACCACTTTTTTAACTGCTGTCTCATGAAAAAACTACAGATCTGAGGAAGGTCTTGAGACAAAACAAGACCATCTTCTGGGTCATTCATCACCATAATGATTGATAGCAAAAACTCAACAGTAGATTATTTCCTTATAAGTGCTACAGGTGCCAAGAACAACATCACCATATTTCATTTGGAAGTGACAGCAATTGTTCTTTTCTTGTAAGTGCACTACATTTAATTTTGATCATGGAAATACAAGAATAAGGTTCTTCCCCTGGTCTATTACAGAGGTTGTAATTCAACAGGATTTGAAATAAGATAAAAAAAAAAATCACAAAACCTGAAAATGGTTTTGGCAAATAATTTGTAGATGGTTCTACAAAAAAAAAATAATCAGAAGACAGTGTCCTATTTACAACTGAGAGCAATAATAACTAAGAAATATTTTCCTGCTTCTGGAAAGTCTAACAAGAAATGAACAGACTCATTCCTGTCTTTCTCACCTACTTGAAGAACAGTACCTTCTATTTTATTAAAGCATACCAGCACATTAACATCAGTACTTCCATTTCCATCATATGCAGAAAAGCATCATTGCTGTGAGACTGGCAAAGCACTCCGCTGCCAGGCCCTCTTTTGCAATCTCCCTAAAAGCCAACATGAATTTGTTTTACAAATCCTAAATTTTGATGCTATGATGAGTGGAGCATTTCCAGGTGGTCTGAGCCACTGCTTTGGTAGCTAAAGTGTGTCAGCCCTCAAAACCTCATGTTTCCATATCATTGTAGCCTCCTCCATTACACTAAGTATTTCCAGAAGCTTTTTCATCTAATAGCTAAAAATCCCAGCCACTTCCTGCACAGTCTCACATGCTTTACCACCTAAATTCACCTACGATTCAATCTGTAGAAAAAGGATTTAGCCAAACTGAACTAGTTCAAAGCCAAGAGGAGAGACGACTTTGCGTAACTGCACTGGGAGAAGCAACCAGCAACAGCACTGGAAGCTGAGCAGAGGGAACCTTAGACAAGTCAGGCTGCCTTTTTATACTTATTTGCAGCTATTTTTTTTCCACCATCACACTAGGACTCTTCTTTCACACGCTCAAGTCATGCAGCAGTTGCATGGAAGGTGCAGGGTCAAATTTAGGCATTCCCACAAGAACCAGTCTGTCCGTCTGCATAACCCACACACGGAAACACTCGGAGCACCCCAGGGACTGCTAATGAAACAGAGCCCAGCACTTGCTTCATGCAAGTCATACAGAGGGCACTTAGCTCAAATATAAATTAAAAAAAAAAAAAAAAGCTGTCTGTTGGTCAGGTTTCTTTGCCTCTCCTCATTCTGATCTCATTAACTGCTGTGGAGTTAAGTGGTAAAGCATGTGGCTCAGAGGAGCGATAATAGCTGGGCCACCTCCCTTCAAGGATGGGTGGGGTGGTGGGGAAATCCCAGCACCATGGAAATTTGGTAACTGCAGATGCTCACCTTCAGCTGCTTGCCTTTTTTTTTTTTCTTTTCTTTTTTTTTTTTTTTTTAAGCAGGTTCGCTTCTCATCTCCCACCTAAATGTTACCCAAACTGCAGGCTTGCTACAGTGTAAAGATTTTTTTTTTTTTCATCAATTTACTATACTGAATGTGAAGAACCAACTCTCCCACTTTGATCATGTCTTTATCAGAAAAAAAAAAAATAAATCACTCAAACCTTTCTTCCTTCTCTCCTTTTTCTGACAAAACATTCACATTATCACTGCTAGATAGACTCTACCCTCTGTATGCTTGCTATAAGTCTCACGTGCCACCTTGTGTAGCAGGGACCTAAGAGAGCTTCCAGAGCTCCGTGCAGTCTGTGGATCTCCAGCACTCTAGGAACACTTTCCAACACCCTTACCCCTTCCTATACAGGACCTGGGTCAGCATTGACTTCCCACTGCACCCAGTTCCAGTCTTTCCACAGCTCTCCAGGCTCCCTCTGTCCCACCTGCCCACCAAGGACCTGGATTTGTTGTGAGGCTTCTTTCAGATCATTACCTTCTGTTTGCCTCTTACCTTGATAAAAATGATTATTTCCATGACATCAACAATTTTAACTGTGCCAACTGCACAAGAGCCCAACCTTTTACCAGGTGAAACCCACAGCGACTTGGAAACTCTTTTAGACTTACAGCTGGAAGCAGAACTTGAATCTTGGGATGACAAATCCCTCTGGAGTCCTGGGATGCTGCTTCAGTTAACTGCACTGTTCTGGCTGGTTGACAGATTGCAGCCTTTGAAGGTTTATCGTGCATTGCTACTTTCAGCAAAGGGTGAGGACCCTTACAGTACTGTCCAGCAAGAAGATATTGAACCACCGTTTCTAGCTTTCTCTGCAGTAACCCATTTAAGGTGACACTGAGACTAAGTGATATTGGCCTATACAGTAAGTAGCTTTTCTGACAGCTTTGCCTAAGCAGCTTTCCTGGAGAGGAAACTGCCAGTTGTGCATGGTGCCAACCCTCCCCCAAATCAGATAAAGGACCAACTTGCTGACAAACGAATCATTTATAGGCAGCTTATTTGACTGCTAAAAGGAAGAGATCTCATTTCTAGTGAGGATGGTAGAGGAAACACTGGACTCAACCACCACCTGCTACCAGTCGTTCCTTGTTTGTGGTTGTTTTCTTAACATGCAGAATGAGGAAGTGCATACTGATTCCTATGCCAAATGCTTTGAGGTTCATGGACCAAGGAAACTCTCCTTTTATAACACTTAGTTTTCGTGCTGTTAGTGCAGGTTCCATAGGAAGCGAAAAGAGACTTTACAGTAAATAATGTGGCATAGAGCAGATGGTTCTCTAGGATTCCTCCCCACTCTCCCACTGTTTAGACACAAAATAAAAAAATGCCTTTAGAAAATCAGAGTAAGTGTTTCTTACCAGTCCTTATCCCCGCAAAATTAGAGTGAGTTTTCTGCAAGCTTTTCAACTTGTACTTTCTTAAGAGAAATTAATTTGCAGAAAAGTTTACACACTTGAAAACCAATGCTTAAACTGAAACTATGTAGTAGTCTCCATCAGCCTCCAGAAACGCACTGTTTACCTATGAATTGTGGACATAAATGCCAAAAGGATAACGAAAAGCTCTGCTGAGAGGCACACAAATCTCGATGTTCACGTAATGCTACACGTAAGAACTCAACAATCAGCCTTTAAAAACTTGTGGCCTATTCTTACATGATCAAATATCAAATCAAAAAGCCAAAACTTTAGTTTTGTTCTCAAAAGCTTCACCAGGACCCCTGGGATCACTTGCCAGTCCTCCATTTCTATAGCTCTTAAGATCCAGACCGTTTTTATTTAGGTACTTAAAGGCAAAACTGAAAGCCAAAATGAAATTGCTCTAGTTTGGAAATTTTGGGCACGGCTGTGCTTGAGCAATACAGATCTCGTTTTAACGTAACTGAACAACCACCAATCC